GGAAGAAGAGGAGGGAGCTGAACCTGCAGGGAGTAACAGAAAGCGATCGGCTGACGAGATGGAAGGCGATGACGGCGACGATGAGGAGAGCAATAAGCCTGCTGTAACGATTAAGTTCAGACCTCGCCAGGAGCAGAAGAGCTCTGGGTTCAAGATCAGTCTTCCCAAAAGGCGGAGGGTTGAAGATGCAGACGAAGACTATGTGGATGAAAACTCTGCGTCTGATGATGCCGACATGGGAAATGAATCGTCTTGAGCTCGACGCAATTTTTTTTGTCATTTTTTTTGGTGCAGGGTTTGGAGAGGTATTAATAAATGGAGGATTGTAAAAGTATTTCAAAGATAAAAAAGAATCTTTTTGTAATATTAGAATAAGTGCGGAATACTTATATACAGGAGAACACGATGGTCGCTTGATTCACACCAAAGCAGCACCTCAAAAGAAACCCTATTGTGAAGCAAAAACAAAAACAAAAACAATAAAGAACCATTGACCACCACCAAAACCGGAACCTAAAAAACAACCCAAATAGTGCCCGTATCCAAATCGTATGTACAAAACGGGCAGAAGATGGAGGCAAAAAAAAGAAGAAAAGAAGAACAGAGAGCATCCCTTAAACCCTCATAGCCACCGCAAATCTCTCTGGATTCGTATCCACAAGTCTGTCTCTCCCGTCTTCCATCATACCGTTTACAGAGTTTGCCGTCTTCACCATCAATTCACTGATAGACCCAGACGAAGCATGCCATGGCTCCTTTGTCCCCTCATCTATGGGTTCCGAAGCATTCGCCCCCACGTCACTTGCATCAACTAATGATAACGCCCTTGCAGGAATGTGATCTTCTTTACTATTTCTCTGCTTCCTCTTCTCTCCCTTATCCTTCCGGGTCCTCCTGACTCTTTTGATGGCACCGTTGTGAGCATCAGGGTATGGGAGGGCATCTGTTAAGATTTTGAGACTTTGGTGGCGATGCTTTGTGGGAGTCTCTCGAGGTCCAGATGTATAGCTAGATGCGTTAGATTGGATCGTGACGACGGAGTTATGATGAGGTTGAGAAGGTGCTATTGGTGGCTTGATCGGGGCCGAGAGAGTTGTTACGAGACGGGAAAGCGTTTGACTGACGGGATCACTTGATCTATCTGTGTACCTCTGCGATAGCTGAACGAGAAGAGGTCAGTCAGTAAAAAATAAATGCTGATAGAAAACCGAACCTCTGAAACAATCTCTTCAAATGATTGAAACCGCTGACTTTCTCCTTCCACCCCTAATGATGTTGCAGCCGTTTGAAAAGCTTCCCGAAGACTAGCCATTTTGCTGTCGATCCAGGAGGAGACGAGAGCTTTAGCTCTTGCCAGCTTATTGAAACTATGATCAACATTTTGTACTGTGTCTATCACGCCATATCTCCAGAAAGAGTTCATGAAACCGCCAAATTCGGAATCGAGGAGTTGTTTGTTGTGAGAGAGGGGGGAATTTTGGGAAGCGTCGCCGACTAAGAGCTCATACGCTTCGATTGACTCCTTAAGAGATATCTATAATCGAAGTCAGACTATCATTTAAATCATGCAGACTCTTACCGAAAGAGACTTTACAGAAGATTCCAATAGAGCAGGATCAGGCAATGCTTGCTCATAAACAGCAACCAAAATCTCCTCAGCAGCTGAACCGCTTGCCATCTCTCCGGTTTCCGTCGTAATCATTTCAGAGTATGCTCGGAACGCCGTCAACGAGTGGATTGGCGCGACGAGAGGTGATCCAAAAGCGGGTTCTGCCACTTCTGGGAAGAACCTTGAGGGCCGATTGGAGGATGTAAGTGACATAATGATCCCGAGGCTGCATGGGTGAAGTCTTTGCATCTGGGATTGCTTCATCACGTCGGATTTGCTGGGGATGGGCTGCTTCATTGGATTGTTGCTGAGGTGCGTCAATACCTTGGTGAGAAGTAACTATATCAAACCTTCTGTACCATCCAACGCACTCTACACCGACTTTCTTGAAATGAGCTAAGCAGTTTTGGTAGGAAGTTTGAGTTTCTTTCAATTCTCCAGACAGCATTCCTTCCATCGTTCTGCACAAAAACGACGGTCTTGTTAGCCTATAAAACAAGGAAGCAAAGAAATGGTAATATGGAACCCACCTCTCACAAGGAAAAAAATGGGTCACATAAGTCACAATTACTTCACCTGGAACGTAAGCTAACGACGCCGATGAAGTTCCAGGCGCAAAATAAGTGTACTGCATGGGCGGTAGCGAAAGGTCCGGAACCCGGCGAATGGAACCACCGATGTAACCAACTACTTCGAATGTTGAAGCATCAGAGAACATGTGCTCAAGCAAGCCTGTAGCTACAGATTGATCCATCACCATTCTCTGCAAATACCTGAGACATGATAACTTTAGCTTGCAGATTGGGGAAATGGGGAAAAGCCGATGAAACCGTCCAATGACAAAGGTTGCAAAAGAAACTAACCGAGCCGATGGATAATAATCATTCGCTGTGATAATACGCTGAGTTGGGAAAGGAGGGATTTGCGACGTGATGTCTGCTACTGAAGGTATGGAGAGCAAAGGCTGAGACCCATCAGCTGGGATTTCTCCAGCACTCTTCTCAGGAGAGCCTTGCTTTTTCTGAAAAGCAATCGCTTGTGACGATGGGCCCTCTGACACCTCAATCGCCATACCTTCAGTAGAAAGCGATGGAGAAGACTCTGGCTGCATCACCCGCTCTGACACATCAGCATCCACATCGGAACCCGCATTCACACCCGCATCCGGTCCAACCGTTACTCCACCGGCCCCTACATCTAGCACGACGGGGTACGAGACGCCAGCGAGGCTATCGGCCTGCATCGTCGGCAGGACGTCGTCGGCCTTCTGTCCCAGCATGTTTTTCGGTCTGCAGATTCGTGCAACTTGTCTGGGCTGTTTTCAAAGTACAATGAACGACACCAGCGAGGACTACTGGGTGTGCGTACTCGCATCAACGACTGCAGCTGCTCTGAGTCTGAGTATGCACGCAGTACGTCGCTGCTGATGGCATTAACCGCCTTTCCCTTGCGCTCAGGTTCGGCTACGGGTCGCTGATCTGGAAAGTCGACTTTCCAATTGAGCGCAAGATCGTTGGCTATGTTAAGGGCTACCTGCGGAGATTCTGGCAAGGATCGCATGATCATCGCGGAACTGAAAGCCATCCCGGACGGGTTGTTACTCTTGTCCCAGAAGAGGAGTGGAAAGAGCGATGGAGAGAGTTGGATGAAACAGCGCATGATGGAGACGAGACCATCTGCTGGGGGGTAATTCCTTTGCTTTGAATGTTCTTTAGATTGTTTTGCTTCTGTTCGCTTTCTTTTCTCTTCCCGACATCCATGATATTCATTTGGCGGTTTTAGGTAGTTTACAAAGTTAGCGCAGATGATGCGACCCGGGTCAGAAGCCATCTCGATTTCAGAGAAAAAAATGTGGGCCCACTCTTGACATCCCCTCTATGTGCCGCCCCTTACTAACTCTCTGAAGGGATACGCAACTTTCAATTCTGATGTCTTCCATCCTGACCAAATTGAACCGATTGTAAAAAACGCCACACTGTACATTGCCTCTACTGATAATCACGCATTCCTAGGCCCCAAGCCTCTCAATGTAAGTTCTGTTCTTGATACCTGAGAGTTCACGTGAGTTATAGGAGATGGCGCATCAAATAGCCATAACATCGGGCCCAAGCGGTAAGAATATTGACTGTAAGTAATAATTCCGCCATTTTAATTAGTGGGTTTGCAGACTAATCTATTTAAAGACTTTCTGAATCTATGCAAGGCTGTGAAAGTGATTGCAGCCAATCATCCTGATCCACATCTGAAAGATCTCGAGGATGCTGTCAGGAGTATTTCAAGAAATCCTGATGCCGACGTAGATCTTTCGGATCTTCTTCACCTGGCAAAGGCAGGACCTTTCGGGTTGAACGTTAGCAGTGTTACGTCTATTTAATCCATTAAATAAAACCGTTTTTGTGCGGACTCGGAGCCACTATGTATGGACGAAAGTACCGACCGTCCAGCTTTCTCCCTGCCTCCTCGCTTCACCCTCGCTCGACACTCCAGCAGTTCTGCTCTCGACATCTGCCTCCAGTTCACCACGGCCTCGCTTTCAATCCAATGCTCCAATGGCAACACAGTTCTTTCCCAAACATCAACTTGTAAGGTGCGAATCACAATATCTTTATTGGATTAATTGAGCAGGAAGGGCACAAAAAGTCAGAATGGCAGTAAAATGTGTAAAAATACCCAGAACCTGCAGCGGTCCTTGAAGCACTTCTTAATTACAGAGCGATTGCATGGCGCAACCCCTCCTCAACAACTCCGGTTTTACTCCGCGTCCTTGGGCATTCCTCTCCTACATCAACAAATCAAAGTGAAACAGCTGTCTCGTTTTTGTGATGATCTTGCATGGGAGACCATGGTAACGTAAGAGAATGTGTTCAAAGGCTTCGGGGACGTCACGGGCCTCGAAGGGTTTCTTGTATGGATGGATGTGGGTGTGTCTGGTTGCAGCGTGGACGATGACCATGATGTGAAAAAGGGAGACCCAGAATGAGCGCTAAACTGATAAGGGGATTCCTGTGAACGCGCAGCAAAGCGAACAAGAAAAAGCAAATGAACGAGAAATGCACAAAATTATAACGTCTCAATGCTCCAATAATCCAATGCGTTGGCGTGTTCTAATGACAAGATGAGAGAGTTGTAGTTGTTTAGATGCAGCGAAATCTGGTTGAAAAGAGTTTCCTTCTGCCATGTATCAACATGTCGCCACTGGTCAAAGTGCGAACAAGAGCAATATTGCAAACGGAGAAAGCTGATTGGTCGAGACCTTAGATTTGCTTTTGGTTCATATTAACCACAAATTTTCATTTTCAACAAGGACAACGTGGCCGAGCGGTTAAGGCGTTTGACTAGAAATCAAATTCCTTCGGGAGCGCAGGTTCAAATCCTGCCGTTGTCGCACCATGGCCCAATGGTCTAGTAGTATGATTCACCCTTAGGGTGGGTGAGGTCCCGGGTTCAATTCCCGGTTGGGCCCTTCTTTTTTTTGACTTTTTTTTGGTCTGGGTGCATGGCTCTTTTTTGGAGGGAGGCGTGCTTTAGAAGGAGACTGTGGTGGGAGGCGGTTCAAGACCTGTGGGCAGAGAGAATCCATGAGTGTATCTCGAGTTACGCTGGATGCAATTCATCTGGTGATGTGATATGCTTTGGGATGAATGGTGATGGAAATGTTTAGTAGTTCAGGTCAAAGGATTGCTATGATGGTATTTCGACAACCTCTCTCACTCATCACATCGCTTGCCCTTGTAGAGAATCACCCCGAGTTATAGGAGCAGAGGCTGAGAGACTACTACCATAGAAAGATAGAATGCTCAATGGCGTATCCCAAGCGCCTTTGTCATGACAGTCCTGATTGACTTTTTGACCACACCGTGTGGGAAAACAAGGGAGTATACCATAAAGACTGCGTTTAAAGAGCTGACACGTCTTTTCAACGTCTTCTCAATGATACTAAAATACACCACCAAAAACTCGTCCTCCGCTCTCCGCCAAATATTCCCCTCCAATGACGTCGATCCATCACATGAGTAAAGAAAATCAAAGATTAGCAAGAAAGCACTTGTTACTACGAGTAATAGAAGATTACTTAATGAGTCATGTACAAAATGTGGGGTAGATAGGGGAAATAAAGACAAGAAAAATACTACAAGTTCCTTATCATAAAGAGAACCCCTCTAAGAAAGACAAACATGTAAACAGACTATGCTACCACATCTGTTGAACTCACCCTCAAGTCAAATGCCCTCGTTGGATAAATATGCAAAAGAAACCGGCAGGTTGACTGGAATAACTAGGCAGAGCAGAAGAGGATAAAAGGGGTCTGAAAGAACATCATAGGAGGAGCTAGCAAGAGAACTCAATTTACGCTCAGGTCTCACCGTATCAACTAAGATAACGGGTTTTGCCCCGAGTGACAAATCTAGCAAAAAGAAAGGAAAGGAGAGATGAACCACCCTCATTATCAAGAAAACTCTCTTTCCAGGTCACACTTCCCAACTCACTCCCATCTACCACTCCCACAAGGAAACCCTCGCATAACTTGCCAAAACCTCATCCTTATCTCCCTCAGATGCTTCTTCATCAAACTCTTCTTCTAGGAGGCGAACAGGGAAAACAGAGACCTCGTCGTCGCGCCTTCTGTAGAGTCTAACACGTGACCCCTGAATACCTTTCTTATCGTGTTCCGCAAGCCAATACGTATTTACCCCTTTCTCAACAACCCCAAAACGCCCAAAATATCTCCACCGCAACTTCTTTCCGATCTAGTTATCCAGTTGTGAAGCTCGGACAACGACAAAGTCTCCTTCTTCTATAAGCTCATATTCGGGCCGTGGTCTGTTCTCCCGTTTGAACTGCTTAGCACGCTGCCCGCGAGCCCGCTCAATTTGCGCCTGGGCAAGCCGAACATTGTAATCTCGCCTTTGAAGCATCCGAATCCTAGCGGCTAGGGGTTCTTCCATTGTCATACCCCGCCTCCACTCAGTGATGGTAAACGACAATGACGAACTCCATCGGTAAGGCAGGCTCCTGACCAAAACAGAGCTCGAAAGGACTAAACCCAGTTGTGCGCCTCACTGTAACTCGAGATGCCCACAAGGCCTCATACAAGTGTTGGTGGGAGGTCTTAGGAGATGATTCGGAGGCCTTGGCCAGCGCGGCCACAATAGGCACGTTAGCTTTCTTGACGAGACCATTTGCCTGTTGACCGTGAGCCATCTCCACTCGCAAGGTGATGTGCCCCATCCTCTGAGCCATCTCGCGCATAGTGCCTGCATCCAACTCTCCTCCATCGATCACAATCTCCTCTGGAGCACCATAACAACAGAAAAGTTCCTGATGAAGCGACTTCATGATTGGAATCTCTGTCTTCTTGCACTTCACTACCGCTTCTACCCATCCTGAGATTTCCTCAATGAAGAGACAGATATAACTTTTAGGCCCCTCCATTGTGACCAGGTCAACATGCCAGTGACAATAGATTGTAAGCAATCAACCCTCTTGCAGGGCTAGCTTTTCGTAGTGTTAAAGCCCTGGCATGCATCGCAGATACGGATAAAACTCTGATGTCTTCCAACAACTTTGGCCAATAATAACGACGCTGGATTTTCCGACCCGTTCCGAACACGCTAGGATGCCCCCCTCCGAATCCCTCGTGTGCCTGGCGAACAGTCTCCTTCTGCGACTGCACGGAGCTGATCACTCTCAGCAGAAGATCCACAGAACCGTCCCTAAGATGTCGGAACAAGTGCTCGTTCTTGATAAAATATTGAGAAGCCGAGCGTTGACACTCTCAGCCAGTGCTTTCGTCGTTTCCCGGATGAGGTTACCCCATCCAAAGGAGCCAGAAGATTTATTCCAGCGGAGATGTAAGATCCAGACCTTCAGTAAGCATAGCGTCAGCAACGGCAACACTGTTGCTGACGCTGGCTACCGTTGCGAGAGAAAAAGCGTCCCCTCCCCAAACTGACCTCCGCGACAACAGGCACGTGGTCAGACCCCCGGATATGATAAAGGTGATCCGACGAGTGTATCGTGGAGTCCCTTGAAACAAGGATCCCGTCAAACCTGAACCCCACATTTCCACGCGATCTAAATTCCACCAGGCTGTGAACGCAGACCGATGGGGGAAAAGGAATCTAAAGGTGTCGATAAAACGCGAGCAGAGATACGATAGCCAAGCACGCTCTTCATTGCGAAAACCCGACTCTATGAATGTCTGAAGGAGTCTGAGAGACATTCCAATCGCATCCTATCACCAGCCTAAAACCTCCTCTCTCGAGCAAACAAATCGTTCAGATGCCGCGCGCGAGGACCATACGGTTTCTTCTTATCATGGTGAAAAGTGGAAGACCGATTGTAGGAAACAGTAAACTCGTATTGATGTGTCGGTTTCATAGATCTTTGACAAGCAATCATGAAAAAACCACTGGGGAAAAGAACTGGATATTTGTCTTGGTTTCGGACATAAGGATGAGCTGCAGGCCGTGTAGTATAATATACTTCACACAAGTCTAACAATGTCATCTTATATCTCCTGCCCTTTAATCTTCTCTGCTTTCCAACTCATGATCACAAAATAATTCAAGTTACAGTTGTGGTAGGCTTGGCGTGTTTGCGCGTTTGTCTTTTATCAAAGGGAGTTCATGATGAGGGGATTCGTAGAGTTATCCTTTGTCTTTTATTTTCCCTATTTTACCCCAAAGTTTTGCATATGACTCTTTGCAGTGTCTATCAGCATTGTCTGACGACAATCCATCACTTTGTTTTAGGCTGTAATTCTCCCGCTTTCACCTCACAACCTTCACCAACCTTCATCCTATGAAAAGCTCGGGGCTTCCCCAATCCTTCCATCAAGTTCCACCGCGACCGCACCCTGAAGCCATTGGTTTCAACGACCTGTCATCAACATCACCTCTCTAGCTCCGTTCTTTGTAATTCCTCATGCGCGGACACAATGAAAACCGATCATAGGACTGCTATTTCTGATTCTTGGCTCAGCCAGGATGCTTCTTTCTTTTCCATTGCCGAAACTGATCTTCAAGAGTCCATCCAACATAGGGTAAGTGCGTCACGAACTCTGCCTTACCAATTGATCTCCTACCTTTCCGCGTATCTACCCAAAGTCATAAAATTGGCCTTGGAACCATATGCGCTGCGCTTCTCTGAATCACTCATGCTCTCAGTCACATTTCAAGCCACATGAACTGTGTTGCCAACACTATTACCAATGGTACTTATTCACCCTAAATGTTGAAAATATCACAGAAGTCGCTTTGGCGGAGTGGTTAACGCGGTGCCCTGCT